CTAGCCCTCCCGCTCCAGCAGGCCGCAGAGAATGGGGGTGGGAGAAGACTCCAAACCTCCCTCCACCCGCTCATTGTAGTGTTGATGCATATGTAATCTAAGGTGCAATTAAAACCCAGGAGGGCATGGAGCTACCTGCCAAGGAGCAGCAGGTAAGCGCATAGTCCCTCCTGCTAGCCCTCAATGACTAAGTGTATTTAAAATTGAGAGGTGGGCAACGACGTGGATCATTTTCCTTAATAAATACAAAAATAATTTGAAATGTGTTATGTTTTTCTAATTTTGTGACTTTTGTTCAAATCTCATGTTTTAGGTCATGGAAAATTCCAAAGGTTTCACAAACAAAACACTTACATATGCTCTCTTTGCTATAAAATAAAAAATAACTATAAAATGTTCTTGTTTGGTTTTTTTACAATACACACAGCTCAGTTTGAGCTGAAGTGGGCCCCTTCCTGTCAGTGTAAAGAAGTTTACCTGCACCTTTATTCCCAGAGATATCTTTATAAAGGGAAAAAAGGAAAAACCTAAACCCCAGTTTAACAGTATAGCTCTGTTTTTCTACATAATACAGAAACACTGCTGCTGAAGGTTAATGAAAGAGCACAACTCTTTGGGCTTAAACTGTATGAAATACATGTGTAAAATCACACTAAAATTCCTGATAGCTTTAATTATGAAGCAGAAAGTTTTTGTTAATTTACAAAAAATTCCCTTTTATTATTATTTATTTATATATTTATACTGTGGATCCAGTGTAAGCCCCCCACTCCCATCTAAATTCAATTAAAATTCAATTTAAAGTCCAAAATGTATGCTCTCCTTTACATTTCCCAAAGCCTTCCAGTGGGCTGGATTCTGCACCCCAAGGCCTGATGTTTCACTCTCTTGTTTCACAACATCTGTCACTGATTGTAAAAGATTTATCTTACAGGATGCAAACTGTCTGAATGAGATAAGATATAAACTTCTGTTGCAAACACACTGCATACTCCACGTACTAAGAATTAATGTGCACACTGAAACTGGAAGACCCCTACCATCCTGTGTGAAATATGTGATTTCACTATCGCAATGATTACTGAGAACTACAGTGATGCAGTTCAGAGCCTTCACTTCACCATCACCTTCAGATTCTTTTTCCTTGGTTTTATAATTGGAAAGAGCCTATCCATGAATGCTTTTGAGTTCTCAACACTTAAAAGTTAAAAATACTCTTTCAGCAACAATGGCTTGCACCAACAGTGGTTTCAGTAGTCGCTTAGCAACAGCTGAACAAAGGCTTACCCAGATCAGACATTTTCACAAATCTTTTCTATAAGTCTTTTATATATGCTCAGATAATAAAAACCAGTCATCCATTTCTAACAGTGCCTAGTTTAATAACAGTACTGTGCGATGCTGACAGTTGTGTATGTAAGGAATCAGGATGTAATCATTTTAATTAAGATCATCCTTCCTTTTATGTCGTATTATAATCACTACTATTGAGCGGTCTTGAAGTGTGAATATCTGTGAAGAAAACTGGATGTAATGGTATAGTTGTGGGGATATGAAGTTGAATGTGAGGCTGTGTACCAGTACAAATATCACTTAATGTAATATGTGCTTTAAAAACAAACAAACAGCCTGGTCTAGTCACAAACTGTCACTGAAGCTCAGTGAACACAAGTGCTATGAAATCTTGTGGGTGTCTGAATATGAGTCATACCTTTCCTCCTCCTGGCAGTCCTGCAGCTGCTGAGCGATCTGCCTCATCTGCTCCTTGCGGACATAGTCCCGTACTCGGTACATGGCAGCGTCGCGGCAGAGCTCCCGGAGGTCACTCCCAGAGTAGCCTTCTGTTTTCTCAGCAATCTCCTTCAGATTTATTGCGTTGCTCAGCTGAGCAGAAAAGACGTCAAGCAATGTGAGATGATTATACAGAATTGAGCTGTCACTAATCTTTGAACTGTGCTTGTTGCTGCCAATCAAATGCCAACTAATCATGGGTGATCTGATTCATTGTAACGTGAAGTGACAGTGGAAATACAGGTGTGAAATGAGTCTATGATAATGGAAAAAGATAACAGCAGAGCTGAACAATTTCTTCTGCTGTTGATAAAGATAAAAAGAAACCATCTTACGTTTTCTCCTGCCAAGATGAGTCTCAGGATGTCTTCTCTCTGCCTTGTGTTCTGCAAAGGAGAGGACAGTCGTTCATATTAGGAAAGTAAATTGCTGTCTAGCCTATCATCATACATCTCCTGCATAAATTCAGGAATGCTTGCATGTGCCTCCTCTGCTGTTCTCCAACTTTGAAAAGTGTTCATCGGATCCATTTCAAACCTGGCAGAGGTACAGCTGGAAAGCTGAGTAAGTGTAGTGTTGAGTTTGAGGTCTCTAAGATGAGGGGTGAACTCATTTTCAGGGATTTTTTTTTGGTTATCAGAAGCCAGTGAATCCCTAGTGGATATTACATGCGCTGGTTTTTTAGGTACTACCCCTCAGGCTCCTAGTAGATTCTCCTATGGTGTTCACAAGATTATCAGAAAGCTTGGCCTCTGGTCTTGATCTTGAGGTCACTGAAATTCAAACTTGTCTGAGATTTGTAGTAGATGGACCTAAAGTTTGAATTTCAAAGTCCTACATTGTCTTATTCAGAAATTATTGCACTCACAAACTTGGGTGTCCACCCTGCCTGCTTACCTGTTGGGGTGACAATAATCCCCTATCAGCCTTTTATGGTTGAGGGGTAAAAGCTGTCAGTGACCAGAAATATATGGACACAACTGTAGACAGAATAAAGCCTCCTTGTGTATTTGCACACATCTTACCGGCAAGCCGATATGAAAAGTTGTGGGCATCCTGCGGAGAATGGCTGGATCCAGGTCCTGCGGCCTGTTCGTGGCTCCCATCACCATAACCTAAATTTTGAGAATCACAGTTTTAATACATTATTTCACAGGAACTACCTGCTGCATTGCAATGTTTTCTGGCAATTGCATTACAGTATAAGAAAGCATTCTGGTTGTGTTACCTGGGTGGTTGATGAGGTGTCCAGGCCATCCCATAGGCTCATGAACTGGGCTTTCATCATGGCTGTGGCCTCGTGGTCCATGCTGGAGCGATTCCTTAGAAATGATTCTAACATGCAGCACATAGAAAACATTTACACAAGACTAATCTTGCTAACTTGGCCAGCTCTGCAGCAGTGACTATGACACAGTATGTGGGGCCAATGAGTGCCTAGGACTCGGCTAACGTATTTATATTGAACTCATATAATTTAAAGACAAGATTAACAAAAAGGCAAGATACATTTTAGATTCTGTTTAAATTACAGCTATTGTGGGCACTGCAATATCGATCACAAGGTCAAATCCACTTAGAAACCATGGAAAGAATGTAATGCAAATTAAACAATATCTGTCATATCTGAATGAATGAAAATGAAGCTAGCTCACATCCACTAGTGCAATAAACTAACATTCTACACTTTTGACATGCGTCCTGCAAATGAAGCTTACCAATCTCATCGATGAAGATAATACAAGGCTGAATTTTGACAGCTAACGAGAAGACTGCCGCAGTCAGCTTTTGTGACTCGCCGTACCACATGTCAGTCAGCGTGGAGGCCTGAAGGTTGATAAACCTGCATCCCGACGCTCTGGCAGTTGCCTTGGCAATCATAGTCTTACCGCAGCCCGGAGGACCGAATAATAAAACACCTGAGAGGACGAAAAGTAAAGAATTAAAATACAGTGATTCTTGTAATATCTGAACAAAAACAAAACAGATTTTTACTCTCACTTCTGCAGTTTATAGACTTTGTAATTTTAACCTGACTCGTTTTAACCTTCACTGGCAACTGCACTGACATTTGCAACACGTGTATCAAATCTGGCTCGATCTCGTCCCAGAAGCATTTTTTTCCTTTTGGTTTGTTTTAAATGATGCGATACAAACAAAGCCTGAAGTCTAGAGACTGAACTTGATTCCCAAAGCAGCTCATTTTGGAGGTTGACTCATCCTGGAGCTATGTGTAAAGACTATCCACAGAAAGCAAAACATTCCTCTTAGTGATCTTTCACTGTCACGCTGCCAAGTGGATAAATCCTGCTTTTTTTGGCAGATTAAAATCGCAGTGCTATTCACTGGGTAGATATTTTGACAGTGATTAGGCAGAGGATGGCAAAAATACAAACTTAGAAAATTATAACCACAGTTTCAGAAGGTAATTTCATGTTAGCTAGTTTTTGATGCAAATCCACATTAATGTTCATGATGGGGAAAAAGGACATTTAAAATCTAACAGTAACTTTGTTCTCAGTCTTACAGAGCTACAGATTCAGATTTTTCACGATGAATTCAAGGGTAATTTGAAGGTTTTTAAACTTGAGTTCATGATCCTGAACATGCACAAATCTTCACTGGGCAACTGACTAATCTCAACTTAACACACAGCTCACTAGAAACAAAGTAAAATACACAAAGAACAAGGTTATAGAAAGCTAGACTGCATTTACAGTAAGATTTCTGAATGACTAGAAAAACCAAATCCCATTCACACAATAGCTCAGTCACACCAGAGTAGAAATGGGATGGCAACCTCCTTGCAACTAAGAAAGCTTGGTGTTTGCTTAATGACTACAGTGATTTTTTTAGCATTTGGGGATCAATTGCAAGTACTTACAGTGACTGCTCTTGATTGCAAGGCTTTGCTCAGGTCGCTTGGTGGCCGATTTCCAAATAATCGCAGTCTGACTGCAATCACTCTCCGAAAGACTGGCAGAAATGTGCAAATAACTGTGTTCTCATTTAAGCTATAAAACTAGATAGACTGCCAATACTTTGAAACTTGTCTGAGATGTGTCTCTCTGCATTAGGGGGTTTTGACTCAACTGCTTGCCAAATTGTCATTTTCTTCAACTCACACAGCAAAAAACTGAAAACTCAGAGTAAAAATCCATTATACTTTGGAAAATATCAATCCTCCACAGAGAGTTACATTTGGTTTTACCTGAAAACAAAAATATAGCTCTATGGGCTCTTTTATTAGTGACTATCAGTCCTCTGGCTACAGCAAAACTGAATGTCAGGAGGTGGAGCTTGACTCTGTTAGTTAGCATTAACCAATGAATTACATAATGAACTAGCTTTCCACTCCCAAAAACTAATTTAAAAATTTATCTAATTTTAACTGTTTCAACCTTGTTATATTTTATCTCTGTATGTCAAATTTGAACCTTCTATGTTCCTTAAAGGGAACATGAAGATTAAATGTCTCTGCAGCTGGATCACAGACACTACTACAGTAGCACTGTATGACACAGTTAAAAATAAGCCTTATTTATCTTATACAGAATCTTGGTGCAGCCCCTCAGTTCATCCTTTGTCAGCACTTATAGCAGTATTTAGAGAAGTCTGAAGGAATGCTTGCATGTACACTGTCCTTATCGTCAACATGAGAGGAAATAATAAAAAGCATAAGAGCTCCTGTTTAAAGAGTCAGCGTAAAATCTGATCAGTTCCAGATTAGATTAGATTTCATGCTGTGGTACCTTTGGGAGGCTGAAATAGTTTGGAATTCGCCATAAGGTGTCTCTTCTGAAAGGGCAGGATGACTGTATCTTGAAGCTCATTGATAACTTCATCCAGACCTGCAATATCTCTCCAGGATACCTGCAGGAAGGTGAAGTTATTCATAAATCTCTGAGCAACATAAAAAAAGACTGATGATTACAACCATTACCTTCATAGTTTGTGGATCAACTAGATGAGATGCAATGTTCATCTCATATTCTGTAAGTCTGACCCCCTCAACACCAATCCTCTTCATCAGCTGCTCTGCCTGAAGGGTCAAGAAACACTTCTTAGCTGAAGACACAAAACGATAACAGACATTGTGCACAATCTTTCTTTTTATCTCAAAGCATCTTTACATCATGCTTTGAATGTACAAGAACAGATAGTGCTTGCTGCATTGTGAGCCAGGAAAAACGCCTGACCTTGGCAGCATTTCTGGAACACTGTTCAATAACAGCATCAACCTTGAGCTTACGGTATTTTACAGATTGCGTGTTTATAATGTGTGCTGATGCATGACATACCCTCTTCTTGGCTTGGTTTTTCTGTTTGGAGGTAGGATCCATTGCATCTAAGACCCATTTGATGCTGTAGTACGTGGCGGCACCAAAGACGGTCAACCTGAACAACATGCCAACCACTTCATTCCTAGACAACGGCCGCATCAGGGCCTCCCTGGGCAGATCTTTCAGCAGCATCTCTGATGGCTGATGTCAATCCATTGGCTGGATAACGAGGTGGAAATATACAAACGAAGTTATTACAACCACATAAGGTCAATTACAGCTCTCGCCTTTTATAAGGCTAAACAAGCTCTCACTTGTATTAGGTTTATGATGCCTAAGCTAGGACTGCGGGTCATGTTTATGCAAACGCAATGTCGCTATTTCAGTAAATAAATTACATTCGTGGTTCACATTTTTATTGGAATAAATGAACTCAATTCGCAGGTTAGCTTCTCCGGGGAAGCTAAAGCTAACAGGCTAGAGCTTCAACTTGAAAGCAGCAAACTGTGTTTGTAACATCGTGAAATTTTTACCTCACGCGAAATAAAACGTCTCACCCTTGCTACGTGTGCTGCTACGCTTAAACGTAACCTCTACTATGATATAAAAGACAAAATAGTGACACTTACAAAACGGGAACGTAACGAAAATGTATTCACTGTGCAACAACCTTTGACGTCCGGGTAGGAACAAACACTTTAGTTCCAGAAAGCACGATGAGGAGTTCACAGAGTTAGCCACTGGATGGCAGAACGTCCACACAGTTATTTCACGCATCAGTAGCATGGACAGCATTTACAGTGCTGCAGAAATAGTAGTCCTTATTACTCCCCAAGGGAAAGGTAAGAGCCTTGAAATAACATTTATAGTTTTGGCAAGTCAGTTGTGGACATGTTGATTGAACTGAGTAAAAGCTTACATTTATAAAAGGAATAGCTTTACATATATTTTGTACGAAAATGTCAGCAGCATCATGGAATACTGTAGCTAACATAATTTATAATAACCAATCACATAATCTCTATTTTTTTTCACGATTTTAAAATGATTTTCTTTGTTTTTTTATGTTTTAAAGTCAAAGGCTCTACAGTATTTTTTGCTCTTGGGTGAAATGCTTTTCTGTGGGTGTCTGGGATCTGTTAGAAAACACTGTGATTGGACACCCAAACATGTCCTGGGGTATGCTTCATGCAAATGTACCCTAGTAAAAGATAGGACAAATCTCAAGCCGTAATCTGTGTTTGGTCTCCACTCATCTTCAGCACGGTCTGATAATGGATAATTCAGTCTTCTAAACAGCAGTCTCAAAGATAAGGCTGTAACAAATGGCCTTCTCCTACAAGCAATTTATCACACATGCGCCTGAGGGATTGTTAATTGTCACGGAGTCCAAGCTAAATTTGATGATGCTTTTGGAGCTTTTGTGCAAACGAATCCCTGTTTTTCATCACCGTATTACTACTAAGAAAAATATAAAGTATAAAAGTGTAAAAAACAGTTTTAATTATGTAAGAACTGCTTAATTTACAAAATTTTACATCAAATGATTTAATGAACACCCAGATTTCTGCAAGACACACAGCTCCTGCTTTAACCTGAGATCCAAATAAACAACAGCCTGGCACAGCTTACCACACCATTTGGGCATGATTAGTTACATTTTGTATAATGCTCCAGAAAATGAGAATTTGTCTTTTAAAATTTTACTTTTTTTAATTCCCCATTTGAGTTAAGTAAAATCTTACAAAGCCTCTACCCTGTGTAGACCAATTAGTTGCCCAAATTGGATGCAGAATTAAATTCTGCACGGTTACAGCTTTAACCATCCAGTGAAGTTAAGTCCACCTTTGTTGTGGAAAATGGCGCACAGGCTGCTATTCTGCACACCTTTGGCTGTGAAAATGTTTCATGAAAAGCTTCAATCCCCTGTACTGCAGCAGCAAGTCCCAGGAGATAGCAGCCTGACTCGGCCATTTTGATGGGTCTGGGCATAAAAGCGCAGGCTTGTGTATCTGCAAAGTGCAGCCGGGGCTCTACATTCCCACAACGCCTTGCACCTTGCCCAAACAACCGCTCTCAAGCGGGTGGGAGTACAACAAAAGAAGAAAAAAAAGAAAGAAAGAAAAAACATATTCAGCTCCCTGTCAAACCTCCACGATGCGGAGGCTGAAGTAAAACCTAAAGCTAGCTGCTTGGAGCTTTCACATGCCAAAATTGCATTCTTTGGAGAAAACAGTCTGGCAAGTGATTGTTTTGCTGTTAGAGATATAAATCCTTGTCGAGTAATAATAGTTCTGTCATTATGCTCCACCGCACCACTCTTTTTCCCTCAGTTTATATTAGTTGATTTTTTTTTATGTGTGTGACAAAAGGATAATGGGATTAGTCTAGTTTTTTTTTAAGTGCACAAGGTAAAGTGTTAAACACTTAAGTAAATGCTGGTCACACACAGTATTTAATTACCCTTTCGGTCTCAGAGGAAGAGAAATTACCTGGAGCTGCACAGGATAAGGAATCATTGGGGAGTGAGTTATTTGCTTGCCAGTGCAAGGTTTTACTTTTAAATAACAT